TTTACCACTTTCTGACTTAATATCCTCCAATGAACTACCACCACTATTATAATTAAGTTCTGATGTTTACTATTGCCTTTAAAGTCACTTATTTGGCCAGCATGGATTCCTTAGCACATAATGTGACTTTGGTCTGGGATATCACTCTCCACTTGGTAGGTTAATACATCCAGCTTACTTTCAAGACTTAGCTGAAACATTTCCTCCCCTGAGAATCCTGCAGTCTTATCAAAGGGTTCCTATTATATATCCCCTTAGGACCTGCACATACCTATGAGATTCACTTGTTCATTCATAAAATATTTATTGACTGCCTACTATGTGCCAGGTACTTGAGAGGCAAATTAAACAAAATATTTTGACCTACAAAAATGGCACTTTCATGGTTAAAAGTAATAGGTAAAAATTATTTCCTTTATGTAAGTCACAGTCTTGGAAAAAAGGCAGCAAGAAGTGAAATGAGCAAGTGAAACATACCTTTTGTTAAATGGTGATAAATGTTATAGGAAACAATAATGTAAGGAAAGGGGATAGACATTCTGGGGTGGAAGGGAAATTTCTCAGAAAGAGGAGATATTTGTACAAGTATCTAAAGGGGGAGAGTGAACAAGTCATGGAGATATCTAGGGGGAAACTGAAAAGCCTTGGCGAGATTTGAAAAGTGCAAAGGAAGCTAGTGCACGAACGGGGTAAGGTTGGCGTGGGGCAAAGGAGGGCAGAGAGGAAAAGTGGGCTAGGTTTTTATATGGATATTGGGTCCTTGTAGAAACTTGGCCTTTTACTCTGAATGAGATGGGACGTCACTGGAGGAGGGAAACAAAAAAGTGATATGACTGGATGTTCATTTTCACAGGACCGTTTTGTTGCTGTGTAGAGGACATGCTTAAGGGAGTAAGGAACAAGACATTAGTCGTATGCTACAGTGCTTGTCCCGGCAAGACGTGAAGGAAGCTTGGAGCAGGCTGGCAGTGGTGGGGTTATAAAATGGTTGGTGTTTGGATATATTTTTAAGGTAGATCCAAAAGAATTTTTCTTTTGCTAATCCTCACACAAGGATATTTTTTCCATTGATTTTTTTTTTTAGAGTGGAAGGAGAGAAAGAGAAAGAGAGAGAGAGAGAGATCAAAGTGAGAGAGACACATCGACTGGCTGCCTCCTGCACGAGCCCTGACCAGGGCCAGGGATTGAACCTGCAACCCAGGTACGTGCCCGTGACCTGGAGTTGAACCTCGACCCTTTCGTGTGCGGGTTGATGCTTTAAACCACTGAGAAACACTGGCTAGGGCCCAAAAGGATTTTATGACCAATTGAACATGGAGTGTGAGAGAAAGAGGCAAAAAAGAATGATGTTAAGGCCCTGGGCTTGGGCAAATGGATGGAAAGACTTTTGCAATAGCAGGTTGAGGTGTGTGTGTGTGTGTGTGTGTATGTGATATTGGGAATTTGCTGTTAGACATGTTAAGTTTGAGTTGCCTATTAGATATCTTAGTGGAAACATCGGTGGGCAGTTGGATTAATGAATGTGGAAGTCGGGAAGTCATGGAGTAGGTCTTCAGCATCTAAATGATATTTAAAACCATGAGACTAGATGTCACCAAGAGGCTGAGTGTAGGCAGAGAAGTGAAGATATCTGTGGCTTGGAACCTGGGACCCTACATCATTAAGTGAGAAGGTTGAAGTTGAGGGTGAAGAGGAATCAGCCAGGTGACTGAGGAGTTGTCAACCAGATGGAAGGAAAAGTAAGACAGAAGCCGAGTGAAAGAAGGAGGAGAGATGCCTGATTGTGTCAAATTCTGCTGATAGGTTACGCATGTTGAGGCCTGGGAGCTGACTGCCGGATCTGGCGTCCTGGTGCCTTTAGCGATATTGAGAGCAGTCAGGATAGAGTAGTGGGAATGAAAGCCTTGCGGTAGTGGATTCAAGAGAGAATACCAGAGTGTATGAGTGGGCGGCCACCCTGCTTAACCTGAGTGCTCCTTTTCATTCTAAACTTGTTCTAGTTTGGATGTTAACATGTATGCTAATCTTCGCTACATAGAAGACAGCACTTTCAAGGAGCATTGGTGGAAACCATAGCTGGGAGAGCTGTGGTCAGCAAAGATTTTGTTTTTGAACATAAGAAACAATACAGAGTATTTGCCAGTGAAAATAATGCACCACGGAGACACAAACTGGTGATACGGGAGATAAAGGGGAGCATTGGGAGCATTTTGAGAATATCTTTGAAAAGGCAAGAGGGACTAGAATGTAGGGGGCTTGGCCTTGGAAAGGAGCTCAGTCTCCTTGACTTTTCTAATGGGAGGGAAGACAGAGTACACTGTTGCATTTCTCATATTGTATTTTATTGTTGATTTATTTGTTTGTTTTCCCACATATTTTGAACTTCTTAAGAGCAGTGAGAGTAAATGTCGTGTTCATTTTATGTTAGGAATCTTTATCGTTCTATTTCTGTTCTCTAGTACAGTGCCTGACACACAGCATGCCTGCAATAAATGTTTGAATGAACAAATGAAGACACTACGCTGAGCATGTGTATATTGTATCTTCTCACTCAGATTGGATCATTTCCATCAAATCTTGACAACTGGATTAATTGTGTTTCTCCTGTCTTGGCCTACAGATAGCTTGACTAGCTGGTAGAGTTGATTAATAGGAATGTCTGTTTTTATCAAAATCAATGATGTTTCCTAGGAGTAAAATTAGTGACCTTTTGCTGCATCATTTTGTGGTGGTCTTGGTTATGGTTTAACATGAAATTACTATTTAGCTTGAATCTTCTGAAAGCTATTGATTCTCCTCAGTATCCATTTGTCATTTATAGTTTACCACCCATATGGTATTTATCATTATTTGTTATTATCTAACTTACCTAATAAATGGAAAGCTCTGTGAGAATGGAGATTACATTTTCATTGCTCCCCCCACCCCCCACAATAATGCTTTGTGTCACCTTTAGTTAAAATGCTTAGTCATCACTAAGTTAAAATGCTTAGTCCAGGCCTGGTGCAAAGCAGATGTCAAATGAATATTTGTTGAATGAATGAATGCATGAATGAATGATTGCTCTCTGTGGTGTATGCTGTTGGTACCCAGACTGTTCTTCTTTCTTGTTTGGTGCACCTATACCCCAGCTCTCATTGCTCTGCTCCTAGTAGGCCGTACCTGAAATCTTCAAAGGACTATACTTGAGCCCCTGGAGCTGCATCAGCCAAATGCTTCAAGAACAAAATGTGCCTGGGGTTTTATGCCTTCTTCTTGGTAACCAGTATCCAGTAACTGAGGTGTAGGAGTTTGGGAATCTAGCTGTCTGCCTCAAGGCAGTGCAAACTCACCGGTGCGCGTTCTACTCCAGAGCTCCCTCATGGGATCAGACTAAGGCCAGGACTTCACCTGAAGCTGCACCTTGCGTGGCATATTTTCCTTTCTTATCTGGCTTCCTGGGCCTCCCTTGTAAGTTTCTCCTGAGAACATCTCCTTAGTAGATCACTTGTATACTCATCCCTTCTTTAGGGTTTGCTTATTGGGAACTTTACTTAAGAAACTTCATGTTTATACACAAGTGATATCAGGGGCAGGGAATTATAACCAGTGTCTCTCTCTGTAGGTGACTGTCAACTAAATTTGATATTCGATTTGGTTGTTGGGTGGGAAGTAGCTTTACAATTTCAGTAAATAAATGTTACTGAATTTAGTGGATATCTTACTGAATTACAGGACTTTCTAACATTTAGTCAGAATGTATTTTTTAAAACTTTTTATTCTTTTTGATTAAACACATCTCTGACATCTGTTCTCTCTCCTTAAGCAAGGATAGTAAAGAGTTGATTGTCTAATCAATTTTTATATGATTGAGTACAGCTTTCTTTTGTCTTTCTGTTGAATATAAATGTCCATTTTCACATACCGAGTAAACCATTTATTTTTTGAGTGATTTGAAAAGAACACAAACTTCTTTATCTGTAAAATGCAATTGGAAGTAATGTATTTTAGAACTGAAAAGAACCTTAGTAACCAGCTGGTGGCCAACCCCTCTATTTTATAAATGAGACCATTTGAGACCCAAAGAGGTTAAGTAATTTGTTCAATATCACCCGGCTTGGTTAGTAACCGAGCAGGACCACCAGCCAACTCCCAGGCTGCTGTGCTCGCCACTGCTCCACAAAATGCATATTTATTATTCACAGAATTGATATGAGGATTAGGGACCACATCTGTGAAAAATAGATTTAGCCTTTGGAAAGAAAGATGCTGGATAGCTTTATGAAACTAATCTCATTTTAACCTTTCCTGTACAATTGTTAGTTTTGTTCAGTTTTAGGTTATTTGCCTCAGGCTCCTTTTTGGCCACAGAATAGATAATATACAATGCTTGATTTAAAAATCTATGTTAAGTATCCGGACTGTGTTACTGATATGAATTACTTCAGCCGGTTTTGAAGCTTGGAGCAGTTGCAGACAGCTTTTCAGAATGGCAATCATTTATGGACATGAAAAATTTTCTATCCCTACTTTGCATATTGGGACTAAGGACAGTTAGTTCCAAAGAGAAGAAGAAAGCACAACTTCTGTTGCCGTTCAGCTTGGTAATACTTCCAAAGCTGGATGCAGTGTGTCTTTAACAAACCATGAATTTTTTCTCCTGCTGAGCCACCATATCCTGCCTACTTTCAGCATAGTCAGGGAACCATTATACTAATCCACCGTACCTTCCTATCTCTAGCAAGCACATGTAAGTGATAACTTTGAATATTTATTTCGATGCAAGGTGTATAAATCTCTCTGTGTCCTCTTGTAAAGCGAGGAAATTGTGACTAGCTCAACTTGGTTACTTTAATTGTTTGACTTTGGTTCATTCAGCCGCAGCATGCTACGATATATGAACAAGAGTACTGTTTAATTTCTGTAGTAAGCACAGTGATTTGTATAGATTCATATATGCAGGGAAGATAAAATTTGAGTACCAGAAGGCTAAAGTAACTTTTATATATATTTTTAATTAGGTACGATTATATGCAAGACCCGACGCTATCAGAAGAGGATCTGGGGACTATGCTCTTCATATAACAAAGAGACTAATAGAATTCTATGAGGACTACTTTAAAGTGCCCTACTCCTTGCCAAAACTAGGTAAGAATTTTCTTGGTTATTTTACTGGGAGGGGTTCATTGAGGTGGAATTTCTTCCTTGTGCATTTATTTGAGACATCCGGAAGCATGAAAATTCCAAGGGTTCTATTTTTTATTTTATTTTTTATTTTAAAAAATATCTTTATTGATTTCAGAGAGGGGAAAGGAGAGGGAGAGAGAGAGAAAGAGAGTGAAACATCAATGATGAGAGAGTCATTGATCGAGCCCACAACCTGGGCATGCGCCCTGACCGGGAATCGAACCCTGATCGCCTGGATCCTAGGTTGACGCTCAACCACTGAGCCACGCCCGGCCGGGCAGGGTTCTATTTTTTAAAGAAGATAAGCATGGAAATAATTTCTTCTGAAGAGGTGAAATAAAATTTAGTGTTTCTAAAGACTTGCCAAAGAGTGCTCATAGAAATAAAGAAAAGCATTATGTAAGTTTTGGATTCCAAAAGATAACCCCTGTAGCTATAGTTTGTTAAATATGTACTGGGAAGGGGTGCTTGCTGGCATCTCATTGAATCCTCACAACTGCTCTGTGTGTAGGTACTGTTATATTTTCCGCTTAAGGGGACTGAGACCCAGGGAGTCTTCCATTTGTTCAGATACCCAATAAGTGAAGAAGCTGGGATTTCAAGCTAGGTCTTCATGACTCTCAGACCTATTGAATATTTTCTACTCATTGATTTGTTTCTTTCCTAATTCTCAGATGTCAGACTTCAATGTATTAGTGATCCCTTAGATTATTTTTGTTCAGTCGTATTTCAAATAAGTTATGGTAAATGGAATAGAATCAAGAGAGAAGGGGGGATTTTAGCAGTGGGGATTGTGTTCACCATGACTATGCTTACATTTCCTTCTTTTACAAAGAGAGTATGCTCGATCCTGTGTTGCTGAATAAATAAATGGATGAGTTTTGTTATGCTATTTTAAATGAAGTTGCTGCTTCTGCAAGGGAGTGAACTCTGACTTTCCACAAAATTAGAAAAGGTACATACCCATTAGAAATGCTGAAGTTATTTTTTTTTTCCTTCTCAGAAAACCTGTTTTGAAATATTACATCACAGCCACCCTTTGTTCCCCTCCCGTCTCCCCATCCATTTTCCTTCCCCAGAGCGTTTTTCATCAGCATCCTCATAAAAGGTATTGCTCGTTGGCAAGAATCAAGTGCTTATCTGATCAAAAATGTTAGCATTTGAACCACAGGTTCTCCTCTCAGGAGAACTGAGCCTATTTCACTAAAGTACCTGCCTGCTGTGTAGCTTTATTGGTCTTACAATGTGTAGTTCAGAGAGTAGATAGAATAGTTGATATTGTGATCAATGGGTGTGGCATATAATTTTAATGAGTGATATTACAAAATCCCGAGGCCTTTTTGAAATATATGCTCTTCGAATCCATAATATTTAATTTCAAATTTCTAAACAATATTTTATTTCAAAGAGGATCTACGTATTTTTTTTCCTTCTTCTGTCTTCTTTCTTTCTTTTCGTCTTGGTATCCACTTCTCTATTGGAACCCTTTGCACTGAAATCTCCCTGGTAGGCACCCGAGGCAGGGAGAATACCTGACCTCATTTGCATGGAGGTGACACTGTTCTGCACTCCAAGTAAAACTGACTGGGAACTTCCCAGCTTGACCCTAATGTAAAATTCACAAGTGCTTATGTTGCAAGTTCAGCAAGAGAAATAAAATGTGAATCTTTGTCCCCTTCAGACCAGTAATTAGTGGAGGAATTCAATTTATAACTTCAGGGGGTTCCATGTAACTGTCAGCTTGCAGCAGGAAGCATTTCTAGTCCTGTATTTCACTCACAAGTGAACCATGCAGGCTTTCATCGGTAGAAAAGAGCTTTGTTCGCTGGGACTCTTACTTGTTAAGCTACCTTGTGGTGGATATAATTGAATGATTTGACTTACCCCAGCACACTCCTTTTATGTATCTAGGGGAGTTACCGTAGCCTGTGGCATTTGGTAAAATTTCTCCTAAAGTTCTACTTATTTTATATATCTAAAGATATTTAGATATATACGTTAATGGATTTATAAGTATGCTTTCTAAATACCCCCTACATAAAAATTCCTAAGTACAGAAGCATTTTGACAGATCTTTACTTTCCACTGTACATTGTGAATTATATTTTAGATAAATTCTATGCAAACCAACTCAGTCTTTGTTAATGGTGCATGTAGCTATATCCTAGATATCAGCTGTGTCTGCCTTCAGCCTTCAGATCTAAGATGGTCCGTCTCCCCCCCCTTCCCTCCTTCCCTCCCTCCCTCCCTCCCTTCTTTCCTTCCACATTTATTGATTACCTCCCATAGGTACTTTTCTTTGTGATGGAGATACAGCAGCAAATAAAAAAGAAAAAAATCCCTTCCCCCCTGGGGCTTACATTTTTTAGGTAGAGGCAGGCATTGAAGCTATTAGTAGCACATATAGTATACCAGATGGAGATAAGTGCCATTAAAAATAAAGCTAGTATGAAGGAACAAGAAGTGTGTGGGGAAGATCAGGCATGAGGAAGGGGCTGGATCTTTTAAATGCCTGAATATGGATGGCTTTTTTGGGAAGCTGACTTTTGAGCAAAGAACTCAAGGGCATGAAGGAGGAAGCCAAGTGGATATTAGGGGACAAAGCCTGTTGGTAGAGGGAAAAAGGTGCCCCGCTTTTGAGACGGGAACTGTGTTGGCATACTTGAGGAACAGCAAAGAGCTAGGTATGACTGGAGCAGAGTGAGAGAGGGAGATGAAGTGAAGGCGAGTAGCAGATCATAGAGAACTGGCTGACTGAGGTAAGGACTTTGGCTTTTTTTTTTCTGGGTGAGATGGAAATTAATCAGTCAGTTGTTAGCAGAAGTATTACGTAATCTGGTTTCTGCTATAAAAGGGTTATTCTTGTAGCCAAGTTGAATATGCTGTAGAACAGTGGTTCTCAATCAGGGCGATTTTGTCCTATATGCACTTGGCATTATCTGGAGATATTTTTGTTTGTCACAGCTCAAGGGGAGGGGGCTGTAGAGTGTTTTCTATTGGCATTTAGTGGGTAGAGGCCAGGGATACTGCTAAACATCTTACAATGCTCACGATAGCCTCTCTCATAATGAAGAGTTATCTAGCCCAAGATGTCAATAATGCTGAGTTTGAGACCCTGATACAGGAGGAAAGGTCAGAAGCATAAAACTAGTTAAGAATATAAGGCAAAACTTAGGCAAAATATCATGGTTGCCTGATGGACTAGGATGTTACCAGCGAGGTAGTCAGAAATGATCCAATTCTGGGTATATATTAAAAATACAGACAAAAAATTCACTGCTGAATAGGATGTGGGATGTGAAAGAAAGACAGGTACCAAGGGCAGTTCCAAGGTTTTTGGTCTGAGAATTTGAAGGGCAGAATTACTTTTTACTGAGGCAGGACAAAGGTGGAAGAAGACATTTTGAGACCGATGTGTCTATTAAACATTTAGATGGCACCTTGATGTCTCTGGGAAATTCAAGTAGACAATTGAATTTATAACTATGGAATTTGGGTGAGTAATCTGGCTAAAGAAATCCATTTGCCAGCATGTAAGGATGGTTAAGACCACCAAAGCTGTGAGAACAAGGAGGGATTGATCCAGTGTTTAGTGGTTATAGAGATTAGGAGCCAGTAAAGGCTACTGGTTGACAAGAAACCACTGGTTGAGGTACTAAGAAAATAGGTATATATTCTGGGCATCTAATGAAGAAAGCGTTTCAAAGAGAGCAGATGATAAATTTGTGCTAAGTCCTGTTAGGACTGAGAATTGACCATGAATTGGCACTAGCCATTTGGAGGTCACTAGTGACCTTGACAAAAGCAAAAGCCTGATGGGTGTGTTCAAGAGCAAATGGGGGTGGGACTGGGAGGGGATACAGTGACTAGAGACTGTGAATATAGACCTCAGATGAGCATTTCTGAAAATTCTGGGAAGAGGAGGAGAATTATTTGTGTTCCGATAATGCTCACCTTTGGATTAAAGCTGTTTCTGTGAACTAATAGCATCCTTACTGCACAGATCTGTCCCTGACCCAAACCATGTCAGGGGAGATGTGGAACTTGCCTCTTTCTTTGATTTGCACTAGAAAACCCAAACTGAACCAAATAAATAAGAACACTCTCCACCAGTTAACCTGAATTTACTGAAGCTTCGCAGGGGTGTGTGTGTGTGAAGGCCAGAGTGTTACACTGCAAAAACAAAACAACAAAGCAATCTTAAAATGTAATATTGGAGCCTCCTTTTCTTAAAATTCCTTTTGCCATTCTGTCATAAACTCTGCAATATCTTCTCTCTTCAACCATACCAAGTCCTTTTTCATTTCTAAAGCTGAATAATTTAGCTTTCTCTGCTGTGGCATCATCTCATGCTAGCTTATCTCTGAGGATTTGAGCTTCCACACCAAGTAGTTTATCAGAATAGTTCCCTAAGAGGCATTCTGATGCTCACTATTAGGGCAATAAATGCATTCTCTTGTTACACAAGGATATTTCTTCAATGTTTTAAAGCCAAAATATGCAGCCTGTGAACCTGTGGGAGGATGCATTTTTAAATCTCTAACTTAGGTAATTAAGCATATTTGTATGAGGTTTCTCTCTCTTGGTGTTAAGTTGCAATGAGAGGTATAGAGGCTATTTGATATAATGCAGCGATCCTTCTTTATAGTATGTGCTCTGTTTTCATGAGAACGCTCTGAGGTCTGGAGATATACTGTAAAAGCTCATTGTTATAGACATATAAAAAATTAAGTTATCTTTCCTCTCATCCCCAAACATATTGACCACAATTACAAAAACAAATGGGCTTGTGTTTACTAAATGTGGCCCACTCTTAAAGGCTTTGTATATTCTGACCCATTTAATCTTTTTCACTGCCTTTGAGGTGGTACCTGTTATTTTCTCGTTTTCCATGTGAGGAAATTTAAGCACTAAGTGACTAAATAATGTACTCTGATCCCACAGCAGGAATTAGTGGATTT